GAAATAATTTTGTTCCACTAAAAGATGCTCAAGATGAGTAAAAAAAAAAAACTAGGAATTGCTATAGAATTTGGCTTTAAACAAGCTAATATTTGTTACAAGAAATCAAGTATATGTATCCTAAAAGGCCTTTGATGGATAGTCACCAAAGATAGAAACTTTGTAACAAAAGGCCAATCATGCTACTAAGATAATTAAAGAATTAAGATGAACCAATTGTAAGTTAAATTACTTACAAGTGAAAAAATTGCAAGAAGATGCCAAAATTGTCAAAAAAATAAAATTGGTGTGCCTTTTTAAAATAGCTAAGTTAGTAGCAATGATTAAAAGCTTTGGCAATTAATATATCAAAGATGGCATTTTAGAGAGAACTTGTCTCAAAGATTTGAATTAGTATAGGATATTATAAATAATATAATCAATAAAGTATAAGTTGCAAAATTAGGAAGAAAAATGATATAGAGTATTTCATGTTAGAAATGTCTAAAAAGATTTCATTGAATATATATTGACAATTTCTTTTTAATCTACATGTGGCATTTTGCTTATAAAGAGTAAGTTTTGACATGCTCTTGACTTACTCTTCATAGTTAAAATGTGTCATTTTTTAGAATGCTATAGGCTAAAAAAATCAACAAGCATGAGCTTTAAGTACAGAACTTGCAATTGAGTAGGAGATAGGTATCAGAGGCAACATTGTGGCATCTATTTTTTGTAAGTTTTTTCATTTTAAAAATAGTTTCTTAATAATCAGCATGAATCACTCAATGTATCTCAACCAACATTGCCTAAACTATTTTAAAGAACTGAACAAAATAAAAGATTGCTTGGTTAATGATTACATATAATCTTAAGCAGCCCAACAAATATGCTGAGAAATAATTTTATTTGGAATGGTAGTAGGTTAGGTTTAGGTCAACACATATGATTCAAGCCTCGGAAACCGTCCCCATATTTATAAACAAGGGAAACTGTAAGGAACAACTGACAAGCTTGTGTGGTAGTACCACACTCATTTTCCCTACAAACTGAGTGTTGTCTCATACAGGTACAAATTGGGCATAATATGTCTGCTTGCATTAACATTTTCACTAACTGTATTTTTCTTGGAGGAACTTACTTGGGTGAAGTTTCAATTGAATTTCAGTTGAATTATTCATGCACCAAGCTTCCATGATTTGTCCCTGAAATTGTATGGTTTGATGTGCTGTTTGTAAAGTGCTTAGAATGCTACAGTCAAAAAGAAACACAATACATGCACTTTTCTGTCCTTACCCTGAATTCAAAATTGCTATCCCAAAGTTAATGAAAATGACAAACCAGATAGAAACAGAGTATATCCCAGAAAGTTGCAGCTTAAATATTGAAAAATTCAAAAATACTCTCAAAGTCCATGAGAATGCACAGAAACCATATCCTTGAAATTCCAGAGACCCAATAGTTATGAAACTTGTCTATGAACTCTCCATGACACATCAGAAAATATTTAACTCTTTCAAATCCATTAAATGAAACAATCACTGCTGCTTCATATCAGCAGAAGCCCAAGACAGAAAGTCTCCAATTCCACAATGCAGAAGACCAGTATTAAGACTCAAAACACTTACTCAAATGAAAAGAACCACTCCTTCTCCCTTGCGCTCAAACCACTGCTTGTGCAGGCATTGCAAATCTGGAAATCCAACTCTAAAAATGCAAGCACCAACTGAAGAATTGTGGCTGTCTCCTCTGGCAACTCAAACATTTCCTACCCCTGTCATGCACTGAACCAGGCCTCTTTAACCATGAAATGAAACAAGAATCAGACAACAAAATGTAAGAATGCCACTATTGAGCTTGAGAGACAAAGCAAGTGGGGATTATCTCACATGGCTGCAGGGGATGTTGCTTGCAGGCTCTGATATGCTGAGGACTAGGATGGCACTTTCATCAGTGAATATTTCCCTTCAAGTTTAAACATTCTTGTTCATCCATGGAACCCACTACTTACAAACATTAACAAATAATATGAAGCCACAGTGACTAGACCAAGTTTCCAAAGAGCAAAACAGTTCTGTAGAATGCCCCACTGAGAATGGGTCTTTTTTTCTCGTGATGAAAGTAATGTTCAAAATAGCAGGGGAAATCAAAGGAGGTAAACAATGTGGAGAATAAATTTCAGAAAATTTATGAAACATGGAAATTTTTTCACATGAAAACCTTTCAACAAACAAACAAACAAACAAAAAAAAAAAAAAAAAAAAAACTCTATAAAACTGAGGAAAAAAGATGAGATTCTTTGCTCCAATTTATGTAGTGTTGGATTTTAGAGAGGAAATTTCCTAAGTATGATCTTGATATATGAAGAATGGAAAAATGGACATTGAATGGAGAACTTGGAAGTCAAATAAGATATTATTATTGTAAGAACCATTAGAGAATGTAACTTGTTAGAAAAATAAGACAAAAATTAATCCTAAATTTTTTGAGAATATCAATATAAGATATTTATAACAGTCTTAAAAGTCAAAAACTCTATTTAAAGTTGTCTTTTTCAAATTTGTCTTTTTTGCTTACAACATACAACAAATTTTTTATGGATAAGGTAAAAGATAATAAACTCAAGTATATGTTGTTGTTTAAGGAAATCTTTAGTTTAAAAAAGAATCAATGAAAGCCATCAACAATTCCATGATATATTGTTTAACAATTCACAAACCATCTCCTTTTTAATTGTTTTTTGTTAAGACATTTGAACTAAATCTAATGATTTGTTTATTTATTTACTGTTACTTGGGCTTTTGAGGTTATTGGCAAGCATGAGATATGACCTTGCAAGATTGGACTCAATACACACAATGATTGAAAAAGGCAATGACTAGTTTATTGCTCAATCAAAATTACATTGTCTCCAATCCAACACTAGCTTGACTCATGATGCTACTATGTGGAACCCATTATGTACTATGGTACTTCTTGACTATTCATTAAGTGTTTTTTCCAATCCTTAAATACATCTCTACCTTAATATATTCTATGTTAATTTTGATAGCTTCATAATGGTGCCTTATCTCATTGCTTACTATTCCTCTAACACCATGCCATTGGGGTACTTTGGTGGGTATTATCCATGGTAGATACAAATTTCTTAGATAAGTAACAACTTTACAACCACATGTAGTTACTTTGGATAAGTAACATTTATCATTTAATTTTCAAATAAATAAAATAAATAAAAAAATATTTTTATAATAATATTAATTTATCCATAGATTGAATAATTTATTTAATTAAAATAATTAAAAATTTATAAACTAAAGCCTTCTATAGAGTCTATTATAAAACATTCTTAAAGCAACTGGAATATTAATAAGAATTTACATAAGCTACATAAATAAGAAATTAATATATAATTATAAAAAAATTTGTGCTTTGTAGTAAATATTACTATGATTTTAAAATATTCTATAGAATGATAAGAAATATATATATCAAATATGATAATTTTAAAAATAAAAATAAACTAAAATTTTATGCAAGGATTATTGTAAAATAAATGGTCACAAATGATTGGGCTATGTTTATATTAGAGTTTATTAGAGTTTATTAGAGTTTATTACTGAAATTATATATATATATATATATATATATATATATATGTGTGTGTGTGTATATATATATATATATATATATATATATATATATATATATATATATATATATATATATATATATATATATATATATATATATATATATATATATATATATATATATATATATATATATATATATATATATATATATATATATATATATATATATATATATATATATATATATATATATATATATATATATATATATATATATATATATATATATATATATATATATATATATATATATATATATAAATATAAATATATATATATATA